AGGGAAGCACCCTTTGTATGATCCATCTCTGGGACAAAGAGCTGGCCTTTAAAATCCATCAAAAATCTGTAAAAGTCCACAGCGCTGTGAGGAAGTGCGGGTGCTTCCTGAGCTGGAATGTTTATTTCACCTGGTAGACCAAACATGACAGATAGTTTTATTTACCACGTGAATATTAATTTTCTGGTTTTGGTAACAAAAATACAGTGCTCATTTGTATTGTTGTAAAACTTATAAATATGCCCTGTAGGATAAATAATATTCAAGGCAACATCCTAATTAAAAGGAAAACTCAGTTGCCTTGCAAGATAATAAATATAAGAAGGCACATAAATTGTAAATAAGATACATGGTAAAAATGAAAAAGACAGGCTGGATAGGAGAGGAATGAAATAAGATTTGGAAATGTGCTTCTTAAATGAACACAAATTGTGAGATAATGTCTCATTGAACAATAAAAATAACAAACCAGTGCAAAGATGTAATAGAATTTCCTCTGTATACCATTTTAATCTTAATATAATTTTCCCCAGTGTAGCCACGTTCATTGAACTACTACAACTATTTCTTCCTCACTCCATCCAAAGTTACTGAGAGTGTGTTCTTTGCTGTAAATAATTCTCTGATTATGAACATGAAAACGGTCCAGAAATTGACCACAGTTTATAAAAGAAAAAATGACATAGCATCTGCTCAGGGCCAAAAGCCTCACAAGAATGCCAAAAGTACGTGCAGTTTCCTCAGAGAAACAGAGTGAGAATACAGAAAACCTCTTTCCCTGCTTCCTCCTGCATAAGGCAATTCCACACCTTTATTTCTTTTTTCCTCTCCAAAAAATGCCGAGAAGACTTCCATGGCACCTCAACCTCTGGTATGCTACAGTGTGAGAATAAGGCTAATGCCAAGGAAGTGCCAGATCCAGCTAATAAATACTAACATGACTTGAAAAGATGCACAGCAGTATGGACTCAGTTTCCCAGTCTGCAAGATGCAGATAATAATACTTACCTGTTAGCTTCAAGGCTGATACATAAATGACTGTTTAGGAAATACTACGAAATACGGATGTGAGCAAACTCCACATGTGTTAAAGATTTGCTGGAAGGGAGACACGGAGTTCAGAGGGAGCCCTGAATCTATTCCTGACCTCAAGTGAGGAAGCTCAGTAACATTTCCAATTCCAATCAACCCCACGACATATCTCAGACATTTCAACTACTAACATAATGTATGTACACTCCACCTTTGCTTACA